CGGGATTGACGTGGGCCACGACGGACTGTGGGCACGGGCGAATCCGACGGGTGCGGGAGGACTAAGCGGGGTGACAACTTCGTGGGTTGGTGCGTGACGACGGACTGTCCGCATCGGAGAGAGAGAGAGAGAGGAAGAGAGAGTTGAGGTTGATGGACGTGGAATTGCGGTTTCTTTGTCTCTTCCCCCTCTTCACCTGTGTACATACATTTTGATTACGGCTCCGGGCGGTTTGCCCGTTCTTATTTCCGTTTTTGGCTTTCTGAATTCTGGGCTTGAGTTTTTGCTCACACTTGTCTTTGCTATGTCCGTCCCGATTGCATTATGCGTATGGATATCGAACGTATGGATGTATGAATGTGTGGACGCGTGGACGCTATGCTTGTTTGTATATCTTTTTGTTGAGAATCCCTGTCCTGGCTTTTTGTTTGTGTCGAATCTTTGCCCACGCCTGATGCAGCTGTAGATGGGATAGGAAATTTGGCCCCGGTAGCAATTTTGTTCTCGTTTATTCTTATCTCACGATGAGGGTTGTGATGTGGTCACATCTTGCATAATCCGAAGCAATTAAACGATCAGAGAGCTGGCTTTGCGAACGCCGCGCGAGAACACGTGTAAACACGATCCGAGTCGCGCCCTTACACGCATTCCCGAACGTCGATTCGCCCACCCAAAAAGATTTGAGGCGGAACCGTCATCCCGTACGAACACGCTGAGGTGTCACTGAGTCTGTCGTCCTGCACGTGTTCGTGCGTGGTGACGATATCCCGACCCAAGCTATCCTATCGACGATGATACCATGATGCGATCTTGGAACTCAGACTCGTCCTATGACCCGGACTATTTCACCTCCATAATAAACGAGCTCATAAGGACCCGATACCCTTGTCACACGGAGAATCGGCTATGCCCGCAGGAATTCCACTGTGCCACCACTAGCGACCCTTGGTGTTCCGATTTCCCTTCCCCGACCACACCTACTACTTCACCCACCCAGGATTTGTCGAGATCACCACCAGTTTCCCTCCTTTCCGCCTCCTTCTCCCGTATCATCAACTCANACCTACTACTTCACCCACCCAGGATTTGTCGAGATCACCACCAGTTTCCCTCCTTTCCGCCTCCTTCTCCCGTATCATCAACTCAGCGTTGTTCCATGGCCGGCCATAGCCCCCTATTGGCCCAATATGTTTTGCATGAACTGCCGACGTAGCAGCGAACAGAGAACTCCGGAATTTCGAAGGCCCAACCCAGGCACGCGGCGACCTGCGCCGCGTGGCGGCCCCCGACGGCCTAACTTTCCGGGACCGCCTCCACCGCGGAGGGATTTCCCCGTAAACCGTCACCCACAGTGCCCCGGCCCCATCGGGCCTTGAGTCCTCTGCGCACTCGCCCCTTTTTCGCCCAATTGCATTTATATCCTTAAGACTCCCCCACTTTCCCAAAAATCCTTGGCACACCCCTTTTCGCACTTCTCGGCCCACATCCCACTCTGATCAGGAAGTCGCGCTGGGCGTGAGGTTGCGTGTCACAGGGAACGCCGAAGTGCAGAAAGTGTAGGCAGTACTTCCACACAGAAGACGAGTGTAGAAGAGGAACCCGAGGGAGGAATGAGGGCGTTGCGACAACAGCGGTTGCAGCCTCCACAAGTCGACCGCAAGGATATCATCAGGGGCAGACGATGAGCTCGCAGGGAGGGAACCTCCATCGAGGGAGCTACGACGGTCCTATGGCGCCTAGGGCTCCCAGGCCAGCAACATCAATGGGAGGCGTACAGGGTGGCTCCCTCAAAGACAACCCTACGTTCTCCCCGGGATTTGGGGCAGGGACGCAGGGGGGGCTCATGGGTAATCCGTCGGCGGGACACTCCCATCCTCTGGGAGGAATGGGCCTAGGGATACCACAACAGAACACACGTTAGGGACAAGGACCGGCGATGCTGCAAAACTGGATACAGACAGGAGGAGTAACGCTAGAGTGGCTGCTCGCAAATGGCTATTTGCCCGGCCCACGGTCAGGGCCTATGGGGGGTCTCGCCGGCCAAGGCGGAACGATGCAAGGAGGTGTAACAAGCTATCAGAATGCTCAGCCGCCTCCACGATCAAGAGCTCAGGGAACTAGTGCTCCCGGGGGACCCGAGCCTGGTTCGAGAGGTATGGGTGTGAATGAGCAGGAGACAGGGAAATTGGGAATACCCGGCACTCTGTCGGGAGGATCTAACGCCGGCTGCCATGGCCTGCAGGGAGGAAGAGTAATGGGAGGAGGGGCCAAGAGTGGGGGGCAGGGAGAGCAGGGAGCAGAGGATACTTCCAACCGAGCAAGAGGCAGGGGGACAGGCAAGCAAAGGAGACTCAGCTTGTCCTCTCACCCCAAGGTCACACCGGAGCAATCCAGAAGTTCGAGGATCTCACGGGAAGAATCGGAGAGATCGATAAGCCACAAAGTCGGAGTAGTCACTCCAGGGAACAAAACTACCAGGGACAGAAGGCTAGCATCGGCAGGTCGGTTGGATGGAACGGAAATGCCTCAATATCTCCTTCCGCTGCTCTACACGGTGACGTGTAACACCCAATGGGTACTATCTTGGCAGAAGGAGGCAAGCCCGCTGTTGATCTTTGCCCAAGCTGTATCGAAACTACCGACGCTCGCAAGTATCGAGGATTGTTTGAAAACGTTATATTTAAAAACTTTCCCGATTAGAGTCATTCCCGACATTCCGATGTCGAGGATCTTGTTCGGTCCACCAGACAACAAGATTAAGTTTTATGTACCGATTGTAGACGCTCGGATCCCGGAGATTAGAATAAATGAATTGGAAGCCTTAGGTCTGCGTCTGATCCCAATTTCTCTTTATGTTGAGTGCAAGAAGCAGGACCTGGCGCGTCTCACGATCACACCTTTGATGGTAACAGCGGATGCGATTGCTGAGCTGAAGATTCGGTTACCGAAAGACAAGAGGTTGGACTCTTGGTTTGTCCGTGGTGCCCTCACCCAAAGATTGGCAGCTATGA